ACTTGTCTTCCGTGTACAGGGGTGAGGACTGAGAACATGTTGCATGCCTTAAAACGAGAGCAAGAACGCAAGCGAGCATCCTCAATACGACCCCAACCCATCTCCCTAAACCCTAAACAATCTGTCTCAACAAGCAATGACCTTATGGATTCCTTCCGCCCTACTCAACCCCCAGGTGCCACTTAACGAGGGTTATTCAAGGATAATGACACCACTGGTATGGTGCTACAACCTAGGTTCCCCTTGATGAGAGTTATTGGAGGATAATTGTGAGCAGAATCCATGAATTTAAAATCTCTTTGCAACCTCGCCATAGACATGGTCCTCAGGAGAAGATTTACATAGGGTTTAGGCTTTACCCTTCATCTTCTGATGATCCCTACAAAGCCATGGAAATTGCATTTTACAAGCCCTAAACCCTAAGCCCCAATAACCCAATAACCCCAACCCCGCAACCTTAATCCGCAAACCCTAATCCCTAAACCCTAATCCCTAAGCCCCAATAGACCCCAAACCAATCCTTGTCCAGAGAGAGCCGAGGTTGCGATATGAGGGGCCAGACTCTGGCAACAGGCTTGGCTCAGTATAGGGATTTAAGGTATAGGGTTTGGGATGTAGAATTTAAGGTAAGTCTAGGGATTATATGGGGATAGTGGAAAAGAAAATGGAAACTACCCTAATTGGCTATATAGGGTTGGGATGAGGTTTTAGGGTTTCAAGGTTTAGGATTTGAGGTTTTGGGGATTGGCAGTTTTAAGGTTTCAGGTTTAAGGGGTTGAAGGGTCTAAGTCTTTATGGTTGAGGGTTTCGGGGTTTCGGGTTGAGCTGAAATGGTAGTACAGGGATGACTACCCCAAGAATGGGTCTAATGGAAAAAGGAAACTACTATAGGGTTTCTAGGTACCCCAGTAGTACCCTTTTTCCTCCTTTATTTTGGGGTCTCCCTATTAAAGCTGACCATTAATTAGGAAAAAGGGTACCCTTACTATCCTGGTTTTGCTGGGGAACCTAGGTTAAGGGTCCAGGGGCTCGGTTGCTCCCTTGGAATCAGAATACTCAGCGCGCGGTTTGGACTTCAGGGTTTAGGGTTTACGGCTTAGGGTTTAAGGTTTAGGGCTCAGCGGACTGTGTATGATTACGGAACTCATAACCCCGAGTAGCGCCGACTTACTGCATCTCGTGGGCGTTCAAGTAGTCTCCGTCGAGAAACCATGTTCTTCAACATGCGCCTGTGGTTCTTGCAGCCCATAAACATTAAAGCTTACATCCTAAAGGTCCTAAAGCCTAAGCATTGAATCGTACCACCTCCTGACCATTTTAGACTCGAAGCCCTGAACCTTACCTTCAACCTCGCCCTTACATGATCCCAGTTAGCATATCATTTTGCATGTTGCTTCTCCATGAGCCATGCATGTCCCTAGAAAATGTGGTCAGCATTGGGGACTGTCTTCACATTTCACAACCCTAAACCAGATATCCTCAGACAGCAAACCCTACAAACCTCAACCCCGATCCCTTTATCTGGGTTGTTGAAGAACTTAAGTTAAGTTATCATAGTATGGGTACACAGTAGATAGTGAATTATAGAGTTGTCATTCACAGTAAGTCAATACATCCCTAAAGCTTAAACCCAACACCCTAAACCCTATATACCCTTGTTAGAGTGAATTTAAGTTCCTCAGCAGCAATCCAGTTTTAAATGTAACTTCTCCGAGAGCAGCCCAACAGGAAGGTCACAGTCCCTGCATCCGTCCTGAAGCATGAGTTCAAGGTCGGCAGGTTTAGATTCAGAGCTTAGGGTTTAAGGCTAAGGTTTAGGGTGTTCGGTTCAGGATTCAGGGCTTCAGGTTTAGGATTATGGGTTTCAGGATCAGGGTTTAGGGTTTGGGAGGATCAGAGGCAGTCGCAGGAAACTAGGGTCTGCAATTCGGGGCTTGGTTTAGGGCTAAGGGCTTGTTGATGATAGTTCCCTGCATGACATCTTTTACGAGCACCCTAGGATGGGGCTACTGTTGCATGCCTGGGATCATGCAGGATTCTGTTCATCAAGCATGTGGAGGTCATTATGTTTTCGGAACTGTCGAGATTATTGAAGAAATTGTTTGTTTGAGACAAGGCGAATACCTCCTGAAAGAAACCATTCAATCATGGACCGGGCATCATGCTAAGATTTGCGAGGGTACTTTGGCGATGACGCTTCCAGGGCGCCGGGATTCTACATTTCAGTCTGTTGCATTTCATCCTATGCATGTGTTACTCCTGAGAACAGGGTCCCTCCATATACTCCCAAAAGCATTTCAATGCTTACTATGGGCACTGCAAAACGGAGACTCCAAGTTGTTTTGAACGGGACAAGAAGATGCAAAGCGCAGAGGAAGACCAACATTGAGAAATGATGATGCAAAACAAGTTTAGCGTTTGGGGCCTACTCCACACGGAACATGTAGCGGACTACGATAAAATGAAATGGGGTCAACGAACATGAGATTTGAAGTGGAAGATCGCATGTAAAGAACGTCTAACCCTAAACCCTAAACCCCACTGGGCAGCAGCTGCCTGCAAGAAAGGGCTTAGCTGTAAACATTTTCCAGGCTAGGAGGTGCTCCGCAAATTATGACCCATCTCCAGCTCCTGGTTTAGGGTGTGGGATTTAGGGATAATGGAAAATAAAATGGAAACCACTATATAGGGTTTAGGGTTTGGGGTCTAGGGATAATGGAAAAGAAAATGGAAACTATTATAGACGGTTTAGGGTTTGGGGCTTAGAGTTTGGGGTTTAGGGCTTAGTGTTTGGGTTTTAGAGTTTAGCGTGGTGATGGTGATGATGATGACGATCGTGATGATGGCGATGGCGACGCTGGCGAGGACGAGGATGATCTGGGAAGTATTTTGGGACATGCCCTGAATGCTGTATAAAGAGCTGATCTCTGAACCCTAAACCCTAGTCCTTACACCCTTAATCCCCGAACCCTAATCCCTGAACCCTAATCCCTAATCCCTAATCCCTAAACCCTGAACCCTAACCCCTGAACCCTAATCCCCAAACCCTAAAGCGTCCTCTTTGCCAGCCCCTGGCGGACGGCCTGGAGTGCTCCTACTTCTACGGCAACGCGGAGTGCAACATCCCGGACCTTGGGAGCAAGACTCCTGGCAGAGGTTTAGGGTTAATATTAAATCTACCCAATAAGGGTTTAGGGTTTATCAGGGCTCAGGGTTTAGGGTTTAAGGTTTAAGGTCGAAGGTTTAAGGTTTAGGGTTATTTTGGGGTTATATAGACTCCTGGCAGAGGTTTACTCCCCCAAACGAACATGGAAACCCATATAGCCCCCTTTTAAAGGGACTGTAGTCTTTATAGGGCCCTTTTTGGGTTTCCATGTTAGTTTCCGGGAGTGTAGTGTTTCTTAAGGCTCAGGGTTTAGGGTTGAGGGTTGAGGGTTTAAGGTTTAGGGTTATTATGGTTTATCAAGGCTCAGGGTATCTCAGGGTTTAAGGTTAAGGGTTTAAGGTTTAAGGTTTAGGGTTTAAGGTTTAGGGTTTAGGGTGTAAGGTTTAGGGTTATATTGGGGTTATATAGGGATAATGGAAAGCAAGATGGAAACGACTGTAATGAGGTTATCTAGGGTTTAGGGTTGAGGGTTAGGGGTTCAGGGCTTGGGGTTTGGGGTTTTGGAGTTCAGGGTTCAGACTCATGACCCTGAGGTTCCTACTATACCCAACAATCAGGTACTTGAGGTTTTGGAAATAGTGAGTGTAGTACAGGTTCTTGGGGGAGTACATGCGCCAAAGTCTAAATCACTTAAAGGGAGTTATCTAGGGGATTTTCTAGGGGACTAGTATAGGGGTTATTAAGGGGGATACTAGGAGTTTAGATTATTTCTCGTATTCAGGGCTTGGTATGTAGGTTTTGTGCCAATAGATCCTGGGTCAGTAGTGCCGTGGTGCACGTGAATGGGTGTCGTGCTGGCAAGCTACGATGTCCTCAATCCAAATGTTGGTGTATATGCATAGTTACACCAGAAGAGCCTCTTTTCACATGCATGAATTTCCCAATCTGGCTTGAATATCGGGAAAGGGTATAGGGGTTGTAGACGCTAGTGCAAACCAAATGCAGAACCAGAGGTAGCTGCTGCGGGGATGTTAGGCCTGTTTCCACCCGCTACATTAATGAAGGACGAAATGGCCAACGATATTAATTAAGTTAAATGTTTGAGATTTGTGCTTCCTATGCTGCGCCCCTATCCGATAGGCGATGGGACGAAATGGACAGTGGCATCTATGAGCCTATGTACAGCCCACGTACAATCCAAGTAAGCTGGGCTAGGTGTGTAGATCCCATCATGATAATATGCAGGTGTATAGCCCCCCTTAAGTAGATAGAATATGGCTTTGGATCTAGTATAATAAGTTCCCCATATACCCCACATTCTATCTACTTGAGGGGCACTATAATACAAGGACCCCGGACCAGACCCTCATTGTGCCGCGGATCTCCATGGACGGGAAAGGGTTCCAGATATACAAAAAACCAGGTTCAAGTTAGGATCCTTCAGAGCATATAGGTGTGTTGTTGCTTTGGCTATTAGGGTTTAGTTAGGGAACCTTTGTTCCATTTCGGCATGCAAGAAGGTATCCCTTCTTCCTTGTAGGATTAGGAAGTGAGGTGAAAATACGGCTTGTAGAAAGTGTTGGAGGGAGTGTAGGGAGCGGGTGTAGCAGTTTAATCAGGTTTAGGGTTAGTGACCAGGTTCAGCCACGTTACCCATGTGAGTTTATGAAGACTTTGCATCAATCGCATAGAACAGACCGTCGTAATGAAATGGAAGCCTCTAAAACCCTAAAACCCTAAACCCTAAACCCTAAGTCCTAAAACCCTCAACCCTAAACCCTAAAACCCTAAACCCTAAAACCCTCAACCCTAAACCCTAAGTCCTAAAACCCTCAACCCTAAAAGCTGTTAGGCGACCACAGGGTCTTGGGGTGGAGGTTGTGGCTCCGTGCAGGAGAAGGGGAAGTTCCCGGAGATCCGCCAACACTGGGACGTCTGCATGAGGCAGGGCTGTAATATGGGTATAGTTTGGGTACTGCCCCCCACAGTAACAGTCTATATTAGGGGTTCTATTAAGGGTTATATATAACCATAGTAGAATTATCATCCAACTGTTACTGAGGGGGAGCAGTACCCAAGGTATAGTCCCCCTTTAGTAGATGGAATATGGCTTTGGGTATATTATAACAAGAACCCCATATACCCCATATTCTATTTACTTAAGGGGACTATAAGAGTATCATTTATTGTGGCATGATAGGGTCGGAGCCCAGAAGGCCGCCACGCTTTTTGACAATTCACGCATGGAATCTCAAGCTGGTTTGCAAGGTCATTTCAATGACCGCTGTAGAATCCCCATGTCATATGTAGTTCCCCATGGTATGCATAGGGCTCAGGGCTTCTAGATCTGTAGATCCTCAACCCTACGCTCTAAGCCCTAAACCTCAAACCACTGTAAACCGAAAACCTCTAACATCCTCTAACCCTATCCTTAATCCCTAAGCTTTAACCTGAAGTCCTGAACCTGTTCCTTACGAGGGATTAGATGGGAATAAGGGGATATACTCCCCATACCATCCCTGTATTATATACCCTTATTCCCTAAGCCCCAAAGCCTAAACTCCAAATCCTAAACCCTGAACCCCAAACCCCAAACCCCCAGCAAGGTAAGGTAAGGGAATCTTCGGCAGGTGTACCGGCCAGCTTGTGGTCAGGAAGGGTGGCAACTATCGGCTCTACCTTTCCTCTGATGATGGCGCTGGTGTTCCAAAATTAGGACATTTTGGCTGTAGGTTCTGGGGGTTCAGGGTTTTAGCCTTGAGTGTTTCCAAGTTCTAGGGTTTCGGGTTTCAGGGCTTAGGGTTTTGGGTCTTAAGATTTTGGGTTTGGGGTTTAGGATTTAGGCTCTAGGGTTTGGGGTGTAAAGTTTGGGTTGCGGGGTCTAGGAGTCATTCCTTCGGCCATGCGCATGACAATGACCTCGCCCCGCATAGCGGTCTAGATGCGCAAGAGTCCTAGGTTCTGGGATTAACGTAAAATTGCCAGGCGCGTGCTCTTTGCATCGTAGATGCTTAAACGATCACATGCGAAGTGGTGCTCCCTTGACGTATCAGACTTGAGAGGCTTCATAGTGAATTGAAACACTATACCCCTAAACCCTACCTGAAGCCCCAAAGTATGTAGAATAATTGCCTCTTGGGCTATTTTTAGGGGTTTGGGTTATAATTTTACCTACTTTTGGGGTTCTGGTAAACCTAAACTCTAAACCCATGTAGTCCTGGGAGGCTCGATGCTGTACTTAAACGGGGAGAAGATCGTCGACAACAATGGCTGCCACGGCGCCAAGGAGGTTCGCAGCGACAGAAGCAAGGTGGCAGTGTAGGAGAATGAGTAATGTCCCCTAGTGTTGTATATGGGAGCTTATTCATAAGTAATTTTGGAGGCCTTTGAAGGAAAACCCTAGACTCTAAACCCCTGAAATCCTTAGCACCCCTAAGTCTCCAAGTTCTAAACACCCCCAAACCACCCGCAGACCTAAACGCCCCTTAACTCCCTAAACCCAGGAAAGCGCCTCTCCTCCGGGACCCACCAGCTGGTCGTAGACATGTGCGAGGTGAAGGGCGGCGAGGAATTTAAGATGCTGGGTTGCTGTTACTCTGGATCCCTAAGGTTTCGGGTTTAGGGTTCAGGCTTTGAGGTTTAGGATTTAGCGTTTAGGGTTTAGAGCTTG